AAATATTAGATAAACTATAGTACTTTATTAAACTACATTCTAACTATTATAATCTAGGTGAGTTTTTGGCCACTCTAGTAGGTTTAGGTCGCAGATAAATATGTCTGACCTTTTATTCTTGCATATAATTTTAGTTTTACTTATATTTGTATAAGTAGTAGTATTTCTATATAGTATTATTATTATGTAGTTACTATTTCCAAAATTATTTAATAAAGATATGAGCAAAACCTCACCTTAATACCAAAAAAATTATTGTTTAGACAAATAAGGAGATGAAGAGTGTTTTCAAAGTTAGGACATTGAGAACATGCTGATGTGTTGTAGAGATGAGAGTAGTGAATATTAAGAATTTCTATAGCAGTAAAATTGTTTGTAAGAATTTTAATATGAAAGAATATTTAAATGTATCATGTTTTAAAAATTTTAATATTTTGAAGTTTAAGGCCCATTTAATTTTTAGATGTCTTTAATAAACTTTAGTATAGACCATTTTAAGAGTTCTTAAATTGTGATAGTATTTTTAATAAAGGTACATATTTTAAAAGATATTAGATAGTAATTCTATAAAAAGTGATTTGGAAGAAATGGAAAAGAAAAGAAAATATTTGCTTTGAAGCATCCTCTTTTGGTAAGTAAATCATCTAGTTATGATAAAAATTATTAAGTGATATTTAACTTTGTAAAGTTGTATATTAATGTTTTTAATATTTTTAAAATAATTTATAGAAAAAATAATATCCCAATTTTTGATTTGTATGTTTGGTACGAAGGGTAGATTGTAAGTTCTTAATCACAGTTTTATTATCAATATAAATATTAATAGAATAATTAGATGGCAAAGCAAGAAGAAGACTAAAGATTGCTTCTAGTTCAATACAAGTAGAGTTAGAGTATAAGTGATTATTGGTATTAAAGCAGATAGAGGCATGAGATTTGCAAATCTATCCTATGCTAGTTTGGATATTTGAAGATTGAATATCTTTATATCTGTATAAAATTCTAAATTATTGTGATTAAGGTTATTTATAAGGTATAAGAGTTGAATTAATTGATTTTGATAGATAGATGAATTTACTGTTTGTTGAATAAATTGAACTTCATAAGAAGATAAATTTAATTGAGATTGAAGAGATAGAGTAGTTGATGCTAATGAATGATTATTATTATGAATAAGAGCTAAAATTTCTTGGTAGTCAATTTATAATTGATTATTATAAAACTTGAGTTAATTGTAGTAAAGTTTGAAAAAGTAAAAAGTTGGTAAAGATAGTAATGTAGAAAAAGTAAGTAAGATAAGACCAGGTGCTGAATTTGTAATTTTGTAAATATTGAGTTATATAAGATTAATTTGGTGAGAAAGATAAATTTGTTGATTATTTGTGTAAGAAATTTGAAAAGATGAAGAAGGATTAGAAAAAAAGATGAAGGTAAGAGATCAATAGTATTTTTTTTTTTTGTAAATACTATAGTTAAAACTTTATTTAATAAAATAGAAAAAAATTCCTACATTAAAGATTTCAGAACTACATTTGGGTTACTATATTAGGCACCAAATGTGACATTATACCCTCTAGTTTTTTATATAATGCAATCAATTATTGCTATAAATTTGTTTGCTAAAATAGATTAGAGGAAACCTAAGGCATATATCATGACATTAAGAAATACAGTTAGTTAAGAAAAAGCCTTGTCGAAACTATTTTTCTATAAAAGAAGAAGTGTCTGTTTGATATATATTTGATAAGGTAGTATTTGAGGGATAAATACTAATAATATAATATAAAAAAAGGTTATAGCTGGGATTAGGGTTATTTAGTATAAATCAAAGAAGAATATTAAGACTTGTAATTGGTGGTGTGGTTGTAATTTTAAGAAAAGAAAGTGAGGTAGAAATTATCTCTATTAGAGATTGTTAAAGATTAATATTATTGTTTGGACATAAAAGTAAATGTGTGAATTTTCTAAATTTGAATAACAAATACAGTTTGGCATGGGGTATAGGGAAGAATAACGAATATTCAGATTTTCCATAGTTGAAAGATTATCAGTTAAAATTTTAGTTCTAAAAGTATATTTTGATGTCTTTAATAAACTTTAGTATAGACCATTTTAAGAGTTCTTAAATTGTGATAGTATTTTTAATAAAGGTACATATTTTAAAAGATATTAGATAGTAATTCTATAAAAAGTGATTTGGAAGAAATGGAAAAGAAAAGAAAATATTTGCTTTGAAGCATCCTCTTTTGGTAAGTAAATCATCTAGTTATGATAAAAATTATTAAGTGATATTTAACTTTGTAAAGTTGTATATTAATGTTTTTAATATTTTTAAAATAATTTATAGAAAAAATAATATCCCAATTTTTGATTTGTATGTTTGGTACGAAGGGTAGATTGTAAGTTCTTAATCACAGTTTTATTATCAATATAAATATTAATAGAATAATTAGATGGCAAAGCAAGAAGAAGACTAAAGATTGCTTCTAGTTCAATACAAGTAGAGTTAGAGTATAAGTGATTATTGGTATTAAAGCAGATAGAGGCATGAGATTTGCAAATCTATCCTATGCTAGTTTGGATATTTGAAGATTGAATATCTTTATATCTGTATAAAATTCTAAATTATTGTGATTAAGGTTATTTATAAGGTATAAGAGTTGAATTAATTGATTTTGATAGATAGATGAATTTACTGTTTGTTGAATAAATTGAACTTCATAAGAAGATAAATTTAATTGAGATTGAAGAGATAGAGTAGTTGATGCTAATGAATGATTATTATTATGAATAAGAGCTAAAATTTCTTGGTAGTCAATTTATAATTGATTATTATAAAACTTGAGTTAATTGTAGTAAAGTTTGAAAAAGTAAAAAGTTGGTAAAGATAGTAATGTAGAAAAAGTAAGTAAGATAAGACCAGGTGCTGAATTTGTAATTTTGTAAATATTGAGTTATATAAGATTAATTTGGTGAGAAAGATAAATTTGTTGATTATTTGTGTAAGAAATTTGAAAAGATGAAGAAGGATTAGAAAAAAAGATGAAGGTAAGAGATCAATAGTATTTTTTTTTTTTGTAAATACTATAGTTAAAACTTTATTTAATAAAATAGAAAAAAATTCCTACATTAAAGATTTCAGAACTACATTTGGGTTACTATATTAGGCACCAAATGTGACATTATACCCTCTAGTTTTTTATATAATGCAATCAATTATTGCTATAAATTTGTTTGCTAAAATAGATTAGAGGAAACCTAAGGCATATATCATGACATTAAGAAATACAGTTAGTTAAGAAAAAGCCTTGTCGAAACTATTTTTCTATAAAAGAAGAAGTGTCTGTTTGATATATATTTGATAAGGTAGTATTTGAGGGATAAATACTAATAATATAATATAAAAAAAGGTTATAGCTGGGATTAGGGTTATTTAGTATAAATCAAAGAAGAATATTAAGACTTGTAATTGGTGGTGTGGTTGTAATTTTAAGAAAAGAAAGTGAGGTAGAAATTATCTCTATTAGAGATTGTTAAAGATTAATATTATTGTTTGGACATAAAAGTAAATGTGTGAATTTTCTAAATTTGAATAACAAATACAGTTTGGCATGGGGTATAGGGAAGAATAACGAATATTCAGATTTTCCATAGTTGAAAGATTATCAGTTAAAATTTTAGTTCTAAAAGTATATTTTGAAGGTTGTGTACAATAGAATTTTAGATATCAAAACATGTTGCCAATTCAATTTCTGATAAATTTTTGAAGATTTTGAGTAGAGACCATGAATAGAGTTCCTGTATAGTGAATATATTTTTGATAAAGGTTCGTGCTTTAAAAGGAATTAGATAGTTTTTCTATAAAAAGTGAGTTGGTAAGTTGATGTAGTTATGAGATATTTCCAAAATAGTTTTGTTAGAGCTTCATTAAGCAAGCAGATCTGCTTGATTTTGGAGTGCATTAGAGTGTGATTTAATTTTATGAAGAGTAAAAGTAATATTCTTAGTATGTTTAATCTCATGAATAATAAGTATAATATCCCAATTTTGATTTTGTATAAGTTTGAAGTTATATGTTTGTTTTAGGTTCTTGATTGCAGTATTGTTGTTTATGTGAATGTTTATGTGAGTATTATTTGGTATTGCAAGAAGAAGAGAGATAATTGCTTCAAGCTCAATTCATGTTGTATCTGGATAAGAGATAGTAGCTGCATTAAATTTAATAGATATGTTGTTTGCACAAATCCAGCCTATACCAGCTTTGATGTTTGGTAATTGTAGATTTTGAACTAATGCATCAGTATAAAAGTGAAGATTATGAGAGTTAAGATTTTGAATAAGTGAAAGAAGATTTGTAAGTTGTTGTTAGTAAGTTATTGAGCTAACTAAATGATGTATTAGTTGAATTTCCTGTGTAAGTATGTTAATTTGAGAAATTATTTAAGGAGAATATATATTTTTAGTAATATTGACTATATCAATTAGAGACAAAATTTTTTTGTAGTTGATCTGAATAAAAAGTGGGTTGTTTAATTTGTTTGTTATATTATAGAGAAGATTAAATGAAGAGAGTGTGTGAAGAGAAGATGGGACGGTTGGTAGTAATTGTATACATCTACATCAGCAAAATATATAAGCGTAATCTTACGTAAGTTATTACGCCATGAAATATTTTGTAAGAATTACGATCAATGCGGAATATTTTGAAATTTTTAATTTTGAAATCTTATGTAATAAATTTCGAAATATTTCGAAATATGTTTTGAAATATTTTGAAATATATTACGTAAGATTTCGAAATGTTTGCATTAAATTTCGAAATATTTCACAATAATTCGCAAAATTCGAAATTAAACAGACATATATGACATAAATATTGCAATTCATAAAACAAAATATAAACTATTATATATTTATTTTTATACATATTAAATTTTTTTATTATATTTATTTATTACATATTTATTACATATTTATTATATATTTATTATATACATGCTTTATACTATTTTTGTTCTTTAAAAAGACAAAGTAGTTCGTTCAATATCAATTACCCAATGGTTCTAAATCACCATTCCCGGCACCATTTTCTGTACCCAAGTCCAGCAAAATACGAACCTACAAGAGAGAAAACGGTTAGAATGAAAAAATAATGCAAGAAAAAAAAAAAAACAAAGCAACCAGAACTGGTACTTATCTAGTTCATGTTCCGAATCACCATTCCAGGCACCATTTTCTGTTCTTAAGTCAAGCAGAATATGAACCTACAAGAGAGAAAACGGTTAGAATAAAAAAATAATGCAAGAAAAAAAAAAAACAAAGCAACCAGAACTGGTACTTATTTAGTTCACGTTCTGAATCACCATTCCCGGTGCCATTTTCTGTTCCTAAGCCAAGCAGAATACAAACCTACAAAAGAGAAAACATTAGTAGAATGAAAAGAAAAAAAAGACAAAACGAAAAAACTGACACTTATCTTTTATATTAGTTCATGTTCCGAATCACCATTCCAAATTACATTCCCGGAGCTATTTTCTGTATCTAAACCAAGCGGAATACAAACTTACAAGAGAGAAAACATTAGTAGAACAAAACAATAACACAAGAAAAAAAAGCAAAAGCAACTAAAACTGATACTTGCCTTTTTGTCAGTTCACGTTCCGAATCATATTCCCAGCGCCATTTCTATAAGAGAGAAAATGATAGTAGTTTATGTTCCGAATCACTATTCCGAATTACATTCCCGGTACCATTTTCTGTATCCAAGCAAAGCAGAATACGAACCTACAAGAAAGAAAACCGTTAGTAGAACGAAAAAATAACAAAAAAAAAAGTTAAAGCAACTAGAACTGACACTTGCCTTTTTATGTCAGTTCACATTCCAAATTATATTCCCGGCGCCATTTCTGCAAGAGAGAAAACAGTAGTAGTTCATGTTCTAAATCACCATTCCGAATCACATTCCCGGTACCATTTTCTGTACCCAAGCCAAGCAGAATACGAACCTACAAGTAGAGGTCTGATTCAGTTAAAAAATTTGTATTCGGATATTCATTTGTTCAATCTTTTTAATATTCGAATATTATTGAAAATTTTAAATAAATATTCGAATATTCACTGAATATTCAATGAATATTATATTATAATAATCTTAACTTTATATTAAAAATAAGATTTTTTATTGAATTTTATTTTTTTATTCTACACTCTATATATTGTTAATCTATAAACCAAGATAAGTTTTTTATATTAATTGGTGATTTGCTACTCAACCAGAGAGCTCATAATATAATATAATTCAGTTTATATATAAATATTAGAGTTTTTGAAATGTGAGCTGCTTCTATCTAAAACTTTTTTTCGTACTAAGTTAATCATCTTTGGGCCTTTAATTAAAGTTGTAGAGTTCATTAAGACAAATTTAATAGTAGTTAAATCATTAAAATCAGCCTTGTAAATCATGAGATATCTTTGAAAAACATTTTACCGACTATGTAAACTTCTCTTTTAACCAGTGTTGGCACATGATCAGGTTATAACAGGTTATATTACTAAGTTCAATTAGTGAAGTCATATGACTGAGATCATATGACTTTACTAATTGAACTTAGTAATATGACCTGTTATAACCTGGTCATGTGCTAACACTGCTTTTAACAATAGTATTGTTGAAAGAGAAGTTTACATAGTTAGTAAAACATTTTTTGAAGATATCTCTGATTCACAAGACTGATTTTAACATTTCAACTACCATTAGATTTATCTCAATGAGCTCTACAACTTCAATTAGAGGCCCAAAGGTAATTAACTTAGTACGAAAAATAGTTTTAGATAGAAGCAGCTTTAATATTAGCTAAGCCACAAAAAACATTTACTGAATATTTATTGAATATTTAATGAATATTCAGTGAATGTTTTTTGTAGCTTAGATTTAAACATATATATATTCATCAAATATTCATTGAATATTTGGTAAAAAAATTAAATATTCAAATATTCAATTTGGTGAAAAAATTATTATTTGAATATTCGAATATTCAATAAATATTCGAATATACTATTCATTAGATCAGACCTCTAATTACACCAACAATTGAAGTTTATAATAGATATTGGCAAAACAGCCAAGAAGAAAAAAAAACCATATATATCAAAAAATAATTTTTTTTTCATAAACTACTGCATTTAAAAACTTTAAAACAATTGATTATATAATTTTTGGTTTTATATTATGCTTATTTAACAAAATAAATTTTTAAAAAATATCCACAATAATATGATACCCTCCTGTATTTAAACAACTTTAAACCAAAATTACATAAGATTTAATTACGATTGAACCTTTTTTTTTATTATTTCTGTATACAAGTTATTAGCTTCAAAATTAATAAATTCATTTTAGTCTTAAGTGCCGTGCAATATATGAAAAAAAAAAGATAATAATGCTTCCCTATTTCATTATCGAAAGGGTTTCACTTTAAAAGCTAGATTTTATAAGTTTATTAACCGTACATACTCTATTTACAAAGTATTATGTATTTCTGTTATATATACAATTTACAAATTAAAGAAAAAAAAACTACAAAGTACAGGACGTTTGGCGAAGTATAAGGTGGAAAATTTCATTCAAAAAGAGATTCAAAAAACAGATTTGAATTACGCTTTAATTGGATTGATGCAGTTCACTGTGGTTGATTACTACGCCAATAACCTGGCATACATTTCAAGAAATGCTGGATCAAATCTCTATACTAATTATGTCATCGGACTTATATCTCATGTTATTTATATCACACCCTTCTATATGGTTAAGAACAGATTTCGTTGAATAACTCATGTAGGTGATACACTTTTTGTATTGAAGATCGATGGGCTTCATTTTTGCGAGACCACTTAAAATGCTTTGGCAAATTCCCATAAGGTCAGTCCGGTAGGTGGGGTTATTTTCTATATCTTCAATACGTACCGATTCAATAAAAGAAATATAGTCTAGAAATATCTGTAACGTTGTACAAATTTGTAAGATTTAAAAATAGAATAAACAAGCAAGTACAATAATAATCAATGAATGCATAAAAAAGAACCTTGCCACCCAAATCCCAATCAGGGACGAAATTTGGGTCAATTCTTTCGAGTAATTCTTGCAATTTTTTATGTCTTTTATGTAAAATACTTTCTGGTGCAATTTTTGATATGACTATTTTATGAGCATCGACGTTATTCCCAGCCCTTAACAAATACGTTGCTTCTTCATCGGTATCATCTCTATATTTTGAATATAAA